CACACCCCCTCCCAAGCTGGGTTATTTCCCTTCCTCCAGGAGACCGTGGGGGTCGGGATGAGTACCACTCTCAGACCCATTTCTTTTGCTTTTTAGCTTTTACTCTCTTCCATTAATCATTTGACAGATGTTGTGGCCAATCAGAGCAACTAGTTTGTCGCAGACAAGTGGAGTAGAGTTGCCGAATTGGAGAGTAACCAGGCAAGTCCCTCCGGGCTCAACGACGAATGGGGGCCTCAAGGCTTCACACTCAGCGCCGTTACTAGAAAGAACTGCTGCAGAAACCATGCCGGGGGGCTCTCCCAGGGAAAAGCTGAGACGCACTGAGCCAGGAAGTGGGCAGCCTGCTGCCCTCAGGGTGGTGGAGAGCAGAGCTCACACTAGAAGGCTGCACACACAGGCCCATGCTCGTACTCACCCAATCTGCTCCAAGAGAACACTGTACAAGTGATCCAGTGTGAGTTTGTGCTTTGGCACACAGATGAGCAGGGGCTGGCCACAAAGCACAGCCCCAGAAGTGCCGGACTGCCTTAGTCTCTTGTCCCTGAAGTACACAGAGAGAGTGACGCTCTCGACGCCATCCACACCCGGCTTGCACACCTCATACCTGTTTGAAAGACAAAGCCACAGGTGAGCTCAGCCCCACACCCAGAGAGCAGCAGCAACTAGTTCACTCCAGCAGGGGCTCTGCATTCACGGGAGTCTCAAACTTGGACCCTGTTATGGGCCACCCTTTTCAGAGTTTCTTGCCCGGACACCTTCTGGCTCGGAGGTTTGTGCCAACCATTATCCCTGGAGCCCTGCCCCTCTCCGCTGTCTCCCTCACCCCCCAGAACTCAGACATGGCGCATGTCCGAAAGCACCACTGCAAAAACACATGTTGGTAACCGTCTAGTGTGAGAAGGGAACCAGGCTCTCCTCTTCATCTACCGCCTGTTCCTCTGCCTGCGCCCTACCCCGCACACCTCAGCCTTAGCCAGGTGAGCTTCCCAACACCAGCCCCTTTCCAGGCCTCCACCGCATGCAGACCCGGGTCCTTTACTCCACCGCACAAGCAGGTTCAAAAGCAACAAGCAGCAGACGCAAACTAACGCACAGCAACCCATATCGCCGCAGTGACCACCTGAGCACATTCCTCTACCAGAGGGACAACTGTGACTTGAGCGTCCCCTGCAGTCCAGGGCCTGACAAGCGGCTGCCCACAAAGACAGAGTCACTCAGAAGCAGCTCCCCTTGCTCCTACTAGGAAGCACCGAGGGGTCAGCAGTACTTCTATCCCAAGGCATTCAAGGCAGCTGACGCCTGGAAGAATCCGCTTTTGCCACTCGGAGTCGCTGCAGTCATGGCCCTTTCTAAAGAACTCCATGGACGGGGCGGCAGCAAACGTTGTGCCTACAGTTTAACGGTGCACTAAGAATCATGGAGGGAGTTACAGGCCAGGCACCACCTTTCTGGCACCTAGTAATTTGGTTGAAGCTGTCATTTAAAAACAGAATGATACTAGGAAGCTCATGCTATGACAGGGTAGAACCATCAGAGTTTCTGCAAGAAAAATCACATCTCAGTCAACGAAGTAAACAAGGCAAAAGCCATTCACCGAGCCTTTCAAAAGGCCTCTCACGAAGTCCCTCACAAAAGCTACTAGAGCAAACAAGTCGTCATGGTGAAAAGGCAAAATGTAGCGTCTGGGTCAGAGTGGCCCGGAAAAGGAAAGGACGGGACAGTGACTGAATAAAGGAAACGAAGCATGTCCCCTGCAGAGAAAGGGAATGAGATGGACATGGACCCTGAATAAGAACACAAGAGCAGCCAGGCTGGGTCAGACCAAGGGCCCGTCTAACCCAGTGCCCTGTCTGCCCACAGCGGCCAATGGCAGACGCCTGAGGGAACAAGCAGAAACAGGGAATCATCACGTGATCTGTCACCCGTTCCCACCCTCTGACAGGCCAGGGACACCATCCCTGCCCAGGAAAGTCTTCTATGAAAAGATTTAAAAGACCATGACTGTTATCCAGGGAACATGATAAAAAAGCGAACCAAACAACGCATGTTCTGCAGATGGACAGAGCGCGCTTTTATTCACCCTTTCACCAGCCAGGGGACAGTCAGTGATACTGAAAGGTGGCCAACTCAAAACTAATCACAAGAAGCCCACTGGCTAGCTAGCCTCTGGAACTCATTGTCACCAGATACCAAGACCATGAGCTTGACAAGATTAAAAAGACTAGACATTTATTACATTGACAAGTCGATTCAGAGTTGTTATAGTAAATATTAACATACAGATTAGTTTTGAAAAGGATCCAAACCCCACATTTCAGGACATGAATAAATTGCTAATTGAAGTTGGGAAAAAGCTTTCCAGAACTGCCTTACTGCAGTTTTTCCACACCTTCCTTGAAACATCAGTACAAACTTCTGCTGCAGAAAACCACTGGCCTCGCTGGATTGCTGACTGGTCCAATCCAATCTGACATGAGCACTAGGTCTGAAGCTTCTGCAGTCAAATCAACATTTTAGAAACCAGGAACTTTTGCAATAAAATCATGGCATGTGGTAAGACAGAACGCAGACTGAAGTGGTCCATTATATGGCAAATGCATATTTTATGAAAATGTGCACATTTGTGTAAGTTAAAGGTGACCTGCAAATCAATTTGGCAAATATGCATCAACTTTAACAAAATATCCTGAATGCCCCCATTAGCCAGGCTACAAGACCAGGGGTATTCAGAATATCAATCACCTGAGACACTTTCTTTTCAGGCCGCATGACCCAAGAAGAAATGTAAACAAAAAACCCCACAAACAAGAACAGTAAGGCTTTGCAAAACTGGGCATTGTACTTTCAAATAGTCACTTACCTGACCCCTTGTAGGCCGGCTCCATGCTCCAGCAGGATCTCTGGGTGATGTGACATCACCAGCATGGTGCATGCTGGGGCGTTACATCGGAGCGGGAGCCGGAAGCCCTAGTGGGGCGGGCCATCATGTGACCTAAGGAGAAAAGATAGTACGTGTTCTGGTTAGGTGCTGAATGCCGCCGCCTATGAGCCTGGCAACGAGGGCGTTCAGCACTAACCCCGATGGCATTTTGTCGGATTGATTTGCAGACCACCTTTCCGTACAGTCACAGTCTGATCACTTGCCACAGAGCTCTCGCCCGCAGAAGCAACATTCCTCCCGAGAACAATGCCACTGCTACGGGAAGGGGGAAAAGCAGAGCAACACTCTGGCCACAAGGGTCTTTTCAGAAGCTCTGTTTTATTAAACCCGTTAGCCCTCTCACTCCCCCAAGAAGGACCTCCCCTCCCCCTCCATAGTTTTTATGCTCCAATACCATTGGTTGGCATGGAACTGACTCAGTTGCTCTAAGTGGGACAGAGGGTAAGTAGGGAGACCTGGGAAAGAAGGCACTTTCAGAGAATTCGGTGCCACTCTCCCCTTCCCTCGCAGCACTAAGCTGCAAAGGACAAGGCCCGCCGACCCGCTCTCCACGTGAAGGTGGATACAGAAGACTAGGGTAGGATTGGGTTTGTCTCCTGCTAGAAGTCTGTGGTGGGGCAGGGGGGATTAAACAAAATATTCAGGTCTCGCCTACCCTGGAAGGCTCTACTCTTACTAGAGAAGAGTAACACAATGACTTCATAAGAACAAGACACTGGAAGCTGAACAACAGAGTAAAAAGGCTTTCAGGCCACGTGTCACTTGTTTTCGTTACCACCGGTTTCATTTCAACACCAAATGAAGTCCTGGGAGAAAAGACGCTTTTGTTAAAGTTTCAATATCCCCAAAACTTCAATTAAGGTGTGAGAATTCATGTCTCTTGTAACGTCCCAGAAGTCCTCAGGAAACCCATAAATACCAGAGTTGATATTCCAGACAGGCGTTCCTTAACCATAACAAAGGAATCAAGGGGGAAAAAAGACTACCAAAATCCAGTATTTTAAAAGTACTTTCCAGTGTATCTTTCAAAACTAAGCTTTTTCTCTTCCACACACCAGTGGTTTTGAGTAGTACAATTGGGATTAAACATCAGCACTAACACAACACATCCTCTGTTAAACAACTGTGTGGAAAGAAGTATAGTGCTCACCGGTCCTCACAAATTTTAAAGGATAACGATGTTCAGCAAAATAGGACTTTTCAAATCTATCATAATCTCCTAAAATAGGAGACTATGAGGTTGCAAGATACTAGTTGGGAACAAGGGGTCATAGGAGGCTACTCTATGTTTTCCATAGAACCCACTTTCCTTTTGCAAAATGAATACTGGTTGTTAATGAACTATTTATTTAATTCAAAACTCCAGAATCCTAAACCTCAAGCCCACAGAGAGAGATTCTGTTCTCCTATAGGAGTCCTAACGGAACTTGCTTTATGGAGTCTCATCATAACAATGCTGGATAGATTTTACAAACAACTGAGTGTTTAGGAGGCAGGATGTTTCCTTTTTTGAACCACTTCATGAAGCAGTACTGAGATAAGAAAGGAAAAAGCTGACAGGTCAGTTTAACAGACCCTGGAACTCCACAGCCCAACAAATTTTCAATTACATAGAACAAATGCTTACTGGGGGTCTGTGATTTCAATGTTCAGGAGAATGATTCTGACTGGATTGCCTGGGGTCTCATATCTCGACAGCCCCAGGATTATACCTGGTATTCAGAAACCAACCATATTTCACAGACAAATTCAGTAGCATTAAATCTCTTTGGTTCTGGCAGTGCCCACAATGCAATAGGCACTTTGTAGACACTATGAAAGTACTGCGAGCCCTTCAGGAAGGGACAATCTCAGAGATTTGATCTGTGGCCCGAGACTAGAGATAGCTGTATGCAAGTTACACCTCCTTCAGGGTAAGTCCAGCGCGCTCTTCTCTCCACACCAACAGAATTTCAGGGGTCACAGACAAATGGAACCTGAAGGACTCCAGACTTCTCAAAATGACACCCCCAACCAATGAATTCCGTGGGAACTGCCAGGCAGCTGGCACTTTTGAAAGTCAGGCCTTTTGTTTAGTTTTAAATATGGATTTTGAAGCCTAAATATAAGCACTGATTTTTTTTTTTGAAGTCTTGGGTGGATAATTTTTCAGTAATGGTTGCAAACGAGTGTGTAAGCAAGCAATGCAAATATAGTACAACTCAAAGTGTACTTTGTTCAATTTCTTCAGAATATACTAGTCACTACTACGAAGTGTGTTTTGAAAACAATGAAATTTGTCATTGAATTTTTGCTGGAAAGTAAAGCCAGACCAGTGGAGTGCAAAGTGATTTATGAAATGCAGATTGGCAAATGTCAGTTAGCCACACTATCGTACATTTTAGATGCTTCAGAAAGATTTCTAGTGATTATCTAATTACAAAGATTTGTAAAGCCACAGAGCAGGCTGCATTTCATACACTGAAAATCTCAAAACATTCTATTCTGGAGTCCATTAAAGCCACTAGTGCGTCCAGATTCACTTGTGACAACCCAAAATCCACCAGGTGAAGTAGTCAGATACCAAAAATCTGCTTTCTCTGTCCTCCTTCCCCGCCCCTCTCCTTCTCAGATGCAACACTCACCGTGGTAGGCTTGCTCCACTCCCAGCTCTGTACAATAAAGGCACGGGTACAAAAAAGTTATTAATGGAACTGTAATTCAGAAGAACCTATTCAATGGAGATAGAAGCTGCCATGTATCTTTGAGCTCTACGCTTCTTACATGCAGGGTCATATGAACGTTGATGAACACACCTGAGAAGATGGTGCTCTCGATCTAGAGTACTGCTAGTGAGCTTTCTTCTTCAGGGCCAAGGTATTCATGCCCAGGGAGCAGATGGTTGTTCTGAAGTGTTTGAGTGTCAAGACCCAATCTGTCTTCATTAAACAGCTCAGAGTCATGAAAGGTCCTCGGCAGTCTTCTGGACCTGAACCACACCGGGGAATCCCAAAGATTGCAACCATGACTCGAGCTCCAATGACGGCTCAGCTGTGTCTGGTACCACTTGAAGTGGTGTCTTAGCCAGCAGCCTGCCTTCATCAATAAAAGGGGTTGAACTAATCCTCATCTCCCTGGGGAAGCCTATTTTAAAGTCTGCAAACATGGCATAATTCAGGAAATCATATTTTGCCAAGAACTGGTAGGCAGTACTTCGTAACTCTTGCAAAAGCATATTTAGTGGTGTTCCCCTGATAGTTTATGATGTGAAACTGCAGAGCCACGGCTGTGTAAAACGTCCATCCACACAGGTCTAGCCTCTTTTGGTTCTTCCAGGAGAGACTTGAAGCAGTACTGCTAACGCCGCTCATTTAGCGCATACACAGCCAGAGAGGGGGAGTCTGAGAGGCAGCGTACTTCTTAGTTACCCTTTGCAAGTTGGCCAGATGGCAGTGAGGGTTTGCCACAAAGTCACAGCTGAGTCCAGGACTGCTGCACTACTGGCGGGATTGAGGATCACAGGCTGTACGGCTGTTTGTATTGCATGCTCTTGACCTCGTTGATGGTATTTGAGTAGCATCAGCTACCCTCTTTAGCAGTTTCTGGAATTGCCAGAAATCACTGGTCATGGAGTGAGGTGGAGGCATAACCACCTCACCTGGAAATGAGGATGAAACAGGAATTTGAGGGGTGTCCTCTTTATCCGCCCAGGCTTCCATCCTGCTCCTCAAACATCTCCTTGCGTTGGGGAGGAGAGGACTGCACATCTCTAGCTTCCTTATGTGGCAGACCTCAGGGTCTGGCTAATTGCTGGCAATGTGCAGCCTAGAGATCCCACCACCCTTGTTGTTAAGCACAAAGATCTTCTGTTAGTCTTCCCGACGTACACAGATCTATGGGAGAAGCTTGCTCAGAGACAGAGACTGACTGGAAGTCTCCTTTATACTCCTCAGTATCCTCCCAATGAGAGGGGAGGGGCAGCAGCAGAAAACATGGAGTGTCCCGTGGTACCAGAGGGTGATGGCAATCTGGGGACGGACGTCTCAGTACCAGGAGACATTTGGTACCCATGAGCAGTGAAGACTGGTTCCTCTATTGCTGGCAAGTCCTCAGAGTAGATACATTCTTGCAGTCCTGAGTAGCGGACCAGCACCAAGACGACGATACCACTGACTGGAGTGTGTCCGTCTCTCAAGGGCTGATGGTTTGCTCAGTTCTGAGGGTGCCGAGTAGGGAGGTATCAATGGCCATATAGTTACCGTCTGTCAGACAAGGAGGGGATCTATCTGAGCTGGGTTTCTCTTTTTAGAGCTCCAGGACTTTCCAACCCCACTGGTACCAGAGGTACCCATCACCTCTACAATACCAAGCCAAGAGGTAAAGGCTTTGAGACCACAGATCTAGCAAGGGGCAAGAGCTAGTATGACGAGAATCCGCCTCTTCAATGCTTTTGAGTCCCTGTAGCCTTCCCCTTTTCAGGAGAAACCTGCACTGATGTGAGGGGCACTGGATGTGTCTGGAAATGGGTGTACAAGGGAGGGGCCTGGCCCAACTCAGAAGTGGTTGGAGGGGCAACACTCCCTCACTGGCAGCCTCAGTTTAGTTTCCCTGTTTTGTCTTGTCTCGGATTTGAAGGCAGGGAAAACATCTGCAAGACAAGGGACTCGCCCAAGCTGCAACACATTTGGAGTGGCGGCTCTTATTGCCACAAACAAGCAACATTTGGAACCTGGCAAGCCAGGCATGTCCTGCCAAGAGAATAAGGCTCCCCAGAAGAATTGGGGGGGAGGGGGGGAGAAGAGACAAAACTAGTCACCCCTCTCATTACTTAGAGCTAACTATGAAAACACAAACCAATCCTAAACCAAATGCTAGACACAAACCGCATAAGGCAGTCTCCAAGGCATGCTCAAGGCTGGCATGCTAAGGCCGCAGCTCAGGCCAAAGCAGTTGAGAAGTAACAGAAGGCAGTTCAGCATGCATCCCCAGTACAGCCTTGGTGTGTGTCACCAGGATACAGATGGCGAAAGTGCAGGCCAAACAAACATGGCTAACAGAAAAATCTCCAGTCAAGAGGCACATACACACCTGAAGCAGAGCACCCAAAAGGGATACTACTCAAAACAGCAGCAAGAGTTGTTAAAAAGAAACTGTGGTATTCAGATGGCATTTAAGATTCCCAATATTCATTAACAACTTGTCACAAACCCACTCTTAGAATGGCTTCTGTTAAATAACAGATTTAATGATTCCCTCTCCTTCCCAATAGAATTTAGTTAAGATTAAAGACACAAGGGGAGTGAGATCGTATCTTTTATTGAACCAACTTCTGTTGGTAAGAGAGAAGCTTTCAAGATACACAAACTCCCCCAGGTCTGGGAAAGGTACTCAGACGGCAGGATTAAACACAAGGCTGAACTGACAGTTTAGCATAAGTATTTATCACTAGCTATTCAAGTTGGTTCAGTAAAAGATATTACCTCTACCACCTTGTCTACCAAGTATTCTGGGACTGACATAACCAATAGTTGTATGCAGTGCAGTTGTAGTGAAGATTACTCAATTTTTCCACTTATAAACAGTTTAGCTTATTACCTGTATACCTTTGCCATGAATATACTTTTTCAGTAGCTATGATACACAGAGGATTCAATATTGATTTGGGATCTTGGTTGTTGTTTACCCTAGATTAAAAAAAGTGTCCCATCCAAGTACAGACCCACGGTCAAACAGGCATCTCAAACTCACCACCTGCATGCAACCTACAGCTGCAACATTCTCTCAATCTGGCCCAGGAGTCTTGGCAGTGGTGCAGGTCAGTGGTGTCCGTACCCATCCCCCAAACCTTGTCCTCTCCCCCGCAAGGGGACAGGGTGCGATGGTTTGTGTTTTGATTTTATTTTTCTGGCTTTAATAATAGAGTCAGGTAACAACTGATTGTTTTGCATATTTTCAAATCATGGCGCCCCCCCCAAAGGAAGAGGTTTTCAACCTTTTTTCATGTGCAGCCCCCTGGAGAAATTTCAAAGGGAGGCACAGACCTCCTTGGAAGTCTACTATCCGGCAACTGTTAAGTCAATTTTTGATCCAAGTCTTTTGCAGGCTTCAGACGTAGTCCCCGGACTTCTGGGCGAGAGCCACTGCCTTACGGCATAAAGCGGACTCTGTGTGACTACAAGAGTGGGAGTGGGATCGGGATCCCTGGCTTGGTATTAAGAAACAATGATTTAGACTTGACCTACTATGTCACGTTTCTAGACGATACATTTCAGTAATCTGGGAGCTTATATAACTTGGCGCTTACTATGTCATGTTTCTAGACGATACATTTTAGTAATCTGGGAGCTTATATAACTTGGCACTTAAATTCAATCCCCTCTTTCTACCCCACCACACGACAGCCACAGGGAACATGCTACACAGAGTCCAAATGCTCTTCCAAATTACCACCTCCTGTCCCACAATGACCAAGTTCACAATTGCAGCTGCAGCAACCACCACATACTGAGAGCTGTTTGGCTCGTCTGGTGGCAATGCCCCCTCAGCTGTCTTGACAAGACAGTACAAGAGAGCAATGGCATGCAGCAATCGTCCCTGAAAGACAGCTTCCCAGGAGATGAAACTAACTTCACCCCAGCAAAGGCAACACAACCGCTTTCTAAAACAAAGCCTCAGACCAAAACATTTTCTGACAGAGGAAGAATGGTCTTGTGGTTAAGGAACAACCTCAAGGACTCCAGGTTCAATTCCTGAATCGTCTTCTTACTTCCTATATGGACTTAGACAAGTCACTTTCTCTCCATCTACAAAATGGGGGCAATGCTACTTCCTTCCCCCACCCTTGGTCTGTTCAGCCTGTAGAGTTGTCGGGCAAGGACCGCCTCTTACTGTGTGTCTGTACAGCACCCGGCATAAGGGACCACAAATTCTGTTGATGCCTCAAAGGCACTACAGTAAGACAACAGAAAATCAAAGATGGCAGTAGCCCTGTGTAGCACACATCACAAGCACAAAGTGGCTAGAAAATAATCACTCTGAGTTTGACTCTCTGTATGCTAGAAAAGCACTTAGCACAAGGTGACCATCACTGGAAACACAGCGTAACCTCTGAGGGGATATGCACGAGAATGGTGCCCCCCAAGACTGCTCACAACCTACAGGCAGGCTCAGAGTTGGGAAAACATTTCAGTTTTTATATAGAGAAGCCAAAATCTCATGTCTCAGCACATTCCTCTCAACAGTGCACTTTCCAAAGCGCTGGTTACTCACACAAAGATGTTGTCTTTTGGCATGATGTGACTTAACCCTTCATCCATTTGGAAAATTTTGTGGAACCGGTGATTATAAACATCTGTCACCACCATCTGAAAGAGTGAAGTTAGAGACAGTTAGACAAACTAATTACAATGCTAGAAACAGTTCCTCATTTCTCAGACATTTTAATGGACACACCACAAAAGCGCTGGAGGCTCTGTTGTGACACCTGACAGCTGATCCAACATCCTAGCCACGTAGCCTAATCAGACCGAAGAGGCAGAGAATAATAACTGGGTCTGAATTTTCAGAGGCACTGTGAACCTGTATCTCCCAGTGGCTTCAAGTCAGGCCCAGTGGCCACTGCCCTGTGGAGATAACACCATACATCCCAGGGCACCCACAGAGCTGTCAGCCAGACAAACGAACACTGACCTGACCCTCGGTAAGAAGTTACATACACTGGGCTAGAGAACTTCTCACAAACCACAGGTTTCAAGCCTCGTGTTTTAATGGGCAATGCATTCATTCACTTCTTAAGATAGCATATCCCATTCCCTGTTGCTACTCTGGATGTCTCTAAGGAACCGAGGTCCCCAACATAGTCATGTGAGGGGCAGAAAGATACAGCTTAGCTTAATGGTAGTGGCAGTCATTTTTCTGTCTTTTCCCTCACCCCTCTTCTTAAAGCCATTCCTATGGTTGTTACTGTACTGAATGTGTCCAAGGGCACAGGCCGTGCCTAGGTCACGCTTTCTTTTTAGAATCCAGACAGTTATGTATCAGTGCAAATGGTTAATGCTTTGTTGTTTTGTTCCTCTTTGCTTTTGTCCATTTGGAAGCGTTTCCAATCAGTGTTCCCAAAGCAAGCACACATTTATCAGCAAACGCGCTTGGTCTCACATTTCCTGCAGGGATCTTGGAGAGTTTGGAGAGCGCTTCACACAGGTCAGATACTGCTCCCATCGTTGGCACAACTACCCGATACTGGAAACCAAGAGAACAGTAAACTTACACGCGGCAGAGTAAATCCAAGCACGGAACAGAACATTAGCAAGCGGGACAGAGCTATCCGTTAGACCTGACAGAGAATCCTATGGCAAGTGGGGTTTCCAGTCACCCGTGACTGTCTTCTGTGTGTCAGGCTCAGATTTAAAGATCTGAAGCCCAGACAGATCACGACTTCAGCCAGCAATTCCTCTGTCTAGCCCAAGGGTGGCCAACCCGCAGCTTGCGAGCTGCAGGAGGCTCTTCTCCCCCAAAAGCGTGGCTCACAAAGCTGCTCCTGCGCCCCCCGCCCCCTCTGTGCAGCAATTCAAAATGGCGCCCAAGAAGGCGGGCGTTGACGGGAGCCTGATATGGCCAAAAAGCCTAAGCAACTTTTTTCTTTTTTTGCTCAACAATTCTGGTGCGGCTCTTTGCATTTTTTCCCGCTGCTGTTTTGGCTCTCTTTGTTAAATGGGTTGGCCACCGCTGGTCTAACTCAATAACTTGGGGGAGGGGAGGAACAAGTAGACCTTTTAGATAGACAGCTAGTCTTGATTTCAAGTGATGGAACACCTAACCCCTGATTCCAAGGGGACATGAAAGTGTCCTCAGGAAATGCATGCAAGTGATGGAAAACTGCCCCAAAAAGCTGTTCCAATGGTTAAAGCCATGGGGCACGTTAAAAAATCCATGCCTTATTCGCTCTCAGAATCCGTTCCATTTTCAGCCACTGGATACTGCAATCAACACTGGCAAAGGTCTGTCCTCAAGAAACTCTCCCGAAGGTTTTGACTCCATGCATCTAAAGCAGTCCCAGGAGAGGAACCACCCATGGTCAGGTTGGGTGGATTTCTACAGTACCTCATGGAAACTGGCATTAACCAATGGGTCTTCCTGAAAATAGTTACCTCAGAACTATCCAACTCCCTGTGAGGATATCACCTAAGGACTGGATGAAACCAGAGGGTGTGCATACATTTCCTGAGGACACTGCGTCAGAGGGCTCTGGAGGTTGACGCTGGATGGGAAGGACCTCCAGTACCACAGGTGTCTGCTCACGCAGAAGAGATTCCTGAACAACAGTTTCTGATAAGCGGTCTCTGTGGTCTGATGTGTTCCCGGCAGGGAGCACTTCTCAGGAGCAGGAATCAGGAAGTGGGCAGGAGACAACTGTTACTGTCACTGACAATCTAGGATCGTGTAAGGATCTCAACCCGTTAATGCGCTACAAAGGCAATTTCCCCTCTTGACAGTCACGTCTCTACACTAAACACTCTGAATGCCCTGGCTTGATTTGCCTCTTTTACATAATACATACACCCCTACCTCTACAACTTCTACTCCAATTCATCTGATGAAGTGGGTTTTATCCATGAAAGCTTATGCCCCAATAAATCGGTCAGGGGACATCTACACAGCAGGGCAAAAGTTGAATTAAGCTATGCAACTTCAGCTACGTCAATTGCGTCACTCAAGTGAAAATAGCTTAATTCTGCTTTTGGTGCTGTCTATACAGCAGGAAGTCGAAGGAAAAACACTCTTCCTTCAATTTCCCTCACTCCTCGAGAAAGGAGAGTTACAGGAGTCAGAGTAAGAAGACCTCCAGCTCGACATTATTTCAAAATAATGGCTTGCTGTGGAGACGTGCTTTGTTAGTTTGAAACACTGCTGTGTAGACATACCCTTAGTCTGAGATAACACAGGACTCCTTGTTTTTGCAGATACAGCCTAACACAGCTACCCCTCAGACTTTTCAGAGCTGGATGTGACATGCCAATGCATCATTGCTTATGCTCTTCAATACAGATCATCACATATACTAGCATATGGAGTCCTGTTGCCACAGGGGTAAATAAGCTTCCTGCTTCCCCATCATCCCAGTCACTTAGACAGATTTTTGCCAAACCGTTTTGGATCCTCAATTCCCAATCATTTTTAAATGAGAAATTGGCATTCAAGTCCTCTGGGTGAATTTGAAAGGCTCGGGCTTAACAGCCAAACGGATCAGATTTTCCTGAACTCTGTTACAGCAGCTGCCTGGGGATAATTCACACCTATACATTTCTTTACCTGAGTAGGTCTACGATGTGGGTCTGCAAACACCACAGAAACATCCATGGAACGATCTTTCTTCAAGGGCAGTGGCAAAGTTAAATAGCAGAAAGGGTCAAAAGTCACAGAAACTTTAGAGCATTTTGGACAGACCAGGGTGGATTTGAAAAGGCCATGAAAAATATCCACGATGATAGAGTCATTCCTTAATCTATGATTCTCCCAGGCTTCCTTCGCTACCACCTGTAGAAAGGGGAAAATATTAATGAGACACATGCATGTCGCTAGAAATGTAAATAGAGAGACATGAGACAAAAGGAATTCAGCAGAATTCTGATAGATATCTATGCACCTAAGCAAGCTGGAAACACTACCAAGATGTCCTGAATTCTGTCCCCATTAACCGCCTACCATTCTCCCTCAACAATCAGACCCCCAGTCTGCAAGTCTTCACTGCTGCAGAAGAAAGACACCCAGTTCTACCAGTCCATGACATTACAGGGAGAGGTCTTGGCTGCATTGCTACAGGTTGGGTCAGTGCTGGAGGCAAGGGGTGGGGGTGGGGGAAGAGTGACAGTGGATAAAGCAAGCTGCGTGAAGTCCATGGGCCTGATCCAAAGCCTAGCATAATCAGAGGGAGTCTTCCAGGACTTTGGATCAGGCCCCATATACTAGCTGCGGCCGAAGTTGATCTCTAGGCCGCATGTGGAAAGGGGACAGAATGGATTTCCTGCCCAGATGGGTAGGCTTCACGTAGTCCTCGTATACAGAAGATCGTGGCTCTCTGCTTATACGTGTCACGCAGTTTCCTCTGAAAGCAGAACCTGTGTCCCAGGCCCAGAGAGAGATGAGTTATAGACAAGGCCAGAAGTGATCGCTGGTCATCTGGCCCGGGGGAGGGCAAGGTTTGCGGGCAGTGGGTCCGCCAAGAGTTTGGTCAGCGGCCATAGGCCGCCCTTTTCTGTTCTATGAATGGAGGGAGCGTGGCATCTGGGAGAGAGCTCCAGGCAGGGACTGGAATGGGGGGGGAGAGGAGAGGGTTTTGGTGCAGGAGGGGTTCTGACTTGGGGCAGGGGCGTAGGAGGGTGGCTGGGGCTGGGAGTTTGGGTGCAGGAGGGGTTGACCTGGGGAAGAGGTGGGGTGCGGAAGGGGTGCCGGCTGCAGGCTCTGGCCCTGAATGGGAAGTGCTTACCATAGCCAGCTCCCAGCCTGTCGTGGTGACCTCACACCACTCAAAGCTGCCGTGCCACTGGGAAGCATGTATCTGAGTACCTGGGGGACAGCAGGTCTGTGCTCCCACCCCCTGGCACCATCCTCTCAGCTGCAAGGGTGGGGATGGGGCGGTGTGCAGAGACCCACTGCCTGCTCTGCCCCAGGGGTGCGCAGACACACTTGACAGCAGCAGCTGACTACTTGTGGGAGAGAGGTGGCCAGGGCTGTGGCAGGCAGGCAAACCCTGCAGGGTTGTGGAACATTTTTCTCCAGCCTGGATGGTCCTGGTGGGCCAGATCCAGCCTGCAGGCCATATTTTGCTCACCTCTTGTGAGACATAGGCCATGGATTTCCCTGAATTCATTCCTGTTTGAATGGGACTGTACTCTTGGGGGGAAGGGGGGGGGGGGAATTGATCTTCATTTTAAATGTCCAGTGATGGAGGACTCACTTCAGCCTTTGGTAAATTGTTCCAATTGTTTTAATTACTCTTAGTATTAACCAGTGTGTCTGACTCCTAACCTGAAAATTGTCTGGCTTCCGTTTCCCACCACTTCACCTTACATAAGCCCTATATTATCAAATGCATTTACCACAGATACTGTAACCCATTAAACCATCTCTTTGTTAAGCACAGACTGAACTCCTCAAGCGTCACTAGACACACTTTTTTTAACCCTTTAATCACCATCATGGCTCTCTGAATCCTTGACAATGTATCATGTCACTAGACACTTTTTTTTAACCCTGTAATCACCATCATGGCTCTCTGAATCCTTGACAATGTATCAACCTTCTTCCTGAAATCCTGACACCAGAACTAGACCTACGTTGGGTAGTAGATGCACCAATGCCAATGGCAGAGGTCATAATCTCTCGACTCCTACTCAATATTCCCATTTCTAGATCAAAGAACTGCACTAGCTTTTTGGCCACAGCTTTGCACTGGGTGTTCACATTCAGCTGATTATTCAACGTGATTCTTAAGTCTTTTTCTACAGTCACTGCTTCCCAAGATCAAGCTCCCATTCTTTCATGTGGCCTGCAGTCATTGTTCTTTGATGCATGACTTACCACATGGCTGTTAACGAGCCTGGCTTGTTTTCCCTCCAACTACCAAGTAACCAAGACTGCTCTATATGAGCAACCTACCCTCTCCGTGCAAATAGGATGAGCGAGGATTTTACATTCTTCCATGGCACTGATAAAAATGTCAAAGAGCAGCAAGCCAAGAACTCCTCCCAGTAGGACTCCATTAGAAACACCTCAGTGCTGAGTCCCCATTCAGCTATGATAGCGGCGATCTAACAAGTAGCCCTTTTGAATGGGTGTCATGTTCATTTTGTACTGCTCTAGTTTCTTAAGTATCATGTACTACCCAGTAACATGCTTTATGGACACCTACGTATATTACATTAACACTATTACCCTTATCAAACTTGTAACCTCATCAAAAAATATCAGCTGGTTTGACAAGAACCGTTTTCCATAAACCCGTGATAACACTTATAGCAGTCTCCTTTAATTCTTATTACCTGCATTCCCATCTTGTCCAGAATCAGCATCAAACCGATGGACCTATACATATGCTGCTCATCTCATTGATTCTTTTTTAAATGTTAAGCACTTGGGCTTTCTTCCAGGACCCTGGAACTTCCCGTGTTCCAAGACACATTACAAATCAACACTAACAGTCCACAGAACTCCTTTGTCAGCTCTTGTAAAACTCTGGGGTGCAAATTACTTGAGCTGACAAATATTTAGTTTTAGCAGCTGCTACTAAAGATCTTCCTTAGATACTGCTGGAATAGGAAGTATTTTATCCATCACCACCACCACTACATGATAGGCAGCACCTGGCTTTTCTTCCAGTGGCGATGAGCTCAAGGAAATCTGCAGGCAGTAATCACAGTGCGATCTGAACTGGGTTTCTGGAAACCCTTGTCTGTGTTGGAGAATTTCTATCTACCAGGTATTTGCCTGAGCCAGTAGATTAGAAGCTGCCCTTTGACACACTTTATCTATGGTGCTTGGTTGCTGATAAGAGATCAGCATTATCTCCAACAACCAAGACCAGGGCCCTGAAGGAAGGATACAGCATCCGTGCTCATAGCATCTCCGCAAGGTAGAGAAAAATAAGAAGTGCTCAGATAAAGAGCAAAGGCAGGCTGAGTCCAGAGCCCTCTCTCCTTAACAGGATGGAAGGTAGTTCCTTACACAGATTCATGTAAAGCAGTCATGTAGCACTTTAAAGACTAACAAGATGGTTTATGAGGAGACTGCTTTTTGTGTTTTACCAAGACCAGACTAACACAGCTACCTCTCTTTACAGATTCATGTGGCAGTCTTGGAGAAGAGGTAACTTATGCCCTCATTTGTGTTGCCACAATCACATTCACTGCACCATGTGTACACAACACAGAAATGTAATGTGCTCAATTCTGCGCTCCAACCTCCCACATGGAATGACAGTCGAGTGATAAACTGCAGAGATATGGGATAATGCAATTTACCATTCCCCCTCGGATTTCATTAGTTGCATTCTGCTCACAATCTACCTCTACTGAGACTTCAAGCATTCCAAGGATCTTGATTTTTCAGATAAAGGAAATTCCTCTGGCAGCGTTTCTCTCTCCACCACCCCCTCAGCAATATATTCTAAAGGCCTGTGCTAGGCAATTCCCAGTCTAAGACTAAGGACTGATTCCACAGCACGGGATGTATCTGGGACAGGAAGAAGTAGTTCACATTGTTAAAGAAGAGAACTCTCCTTCCTTCCCACTGTTCCCTCGCAGTACTCTACTGTGAGATATAGAGCCCTGAATTCCCATCGCTGCGTGGACACTAACTAGGTAGGTGACTCCTAGAGCTTTCCAAAGCACCTGTTCTTCCTCCGCACAACTGTGGACACTCTCGACTCCTAGAGCTTTCCAAAGCGCCTGTTCTTCCTCCGCACAACTGTGGACACTCTCGATTGAGTCCTCTAGGTGTAAGTCACATCACTCAGTGCCTCACTCCCTCATTTATCAAGTGAATGGTGCTTCCCTCCCTGCCAGGATGCTGTGAGGGTACATGCACATGCAGGTTCTGGTACCACGGTCAGGGGCCATGCAAACACCTAGACACACAGGGAGGTCCAAGCAGAAGAGGGGCCTCTGTCAGGGAGACAGAACTGGAGATTTGGGGAGCTTGGTCCAAGGAACAAACCCAAGGGACCCCAATTGCCCATGCATCACCAGCGAAGGCTGCAGGGAGTAGAGCCACATAAAGTCTTGTGGAAGTGGAAGTGAAACGCAAGCTGGATATTGCAAGGCCACTGTAATGCCAATGTGCAAACAGTAACGTAAGCACGTTTACAGCTTTCACTGTCCTCTTCCTGGCTTTGGACAGCCATTTAACGCAGATAATCTGTGCTATTTAAATGCAGCTCGAGGCCTCCAGTTGAGCATAGGGCATAATTCTAAGCACTGTACCGAATCAGGCCTGCCATTGGCATCCTTGAGCTCCAAGTAGGGCTTCTTCTTCACACGGTTCAAGTCCTCGTGCAAGCCATCCAGGAGGAATGCCAAGAGCTCCTGAGAATCTTGCTGCTGGTACCCTGAGAATTGAGGGGCAAAACGGCCAACCTGGACCTAGAAACAAAACAGGACAAACTGGTCAGAATAGCCGCATGGATGTGCAAAAGTGAAAAAAGAAAATCATGTCCTGGCTTGGGTGGAATGCAGCACCAAGAAGCTGCTGTATTTAGCACTAACAATGAAGCAGAAGGCAACATAACAAGGCTGTCAGCGCAGGTTTCCTGGCCAGATTTTAAACTCATTTAGCAAAGGCATGTGTGATGGATGGTGCAATCTGGACGGTCCAGTTCACCAGCCCCTCCGGATGTGCAATGTTTCATTTGTTCTATTTCAGCTATAAAAGAGCCCATATTAAAACTCTTAAACATCCACTACTGAATCCCCATCACTCCTTAATGTAAAAACTTAACTCTTTTAAAAACCACACACACACAGACTTCATTTGCTGACAGTCAAGATTGCTTCAGAATACGTCTCACCACCAAAATCTGGAAAGGGAAATTGACAAGAACGGTAGGAAACATCACCCACACCGCTGCCAATAACAGACTCCACCATTCCATAAGGCTTAAGTTACCACCTTCAAGTTCATACTCCAAAGCAAACCCTTTGCCGCGTGTCGAAAGTGGCACATACTTCACAGTTAAGAAGTTAATCAAGGATAATATTGCTCAGGTTGTTTTAGTGCTGTCACTGCGTTTCCATACTTCGACATCGGTGGATATTTCTAATGCTTAATCTTAACTGGGTAAATGTTTGTTTCTGGGATAATGGCAACATTCTCCTAACTACTGTTTCCAGTGCTGGTCCCGGGACAGAACATCGGCGAAGCGGGTGAGGCCAGAGCTTTACTGGACTAACGTCAGATGGTGACACAAACAAGCTAGTTAGCTCAATAAAAAGACTAGGTGGGTGAGGCACTTACATCTTTCTAACGTTACTTCACCCTCTGGACTCCAAAGGAACAAAACTTTTTTTGCTTGAGAACATTTTGAAACACCCCCAATCCAACAGTATCAGAGGGGTGGCCGTGTTAGCCTGAACCTGCATAAACAACGAGGAGTCCTGCGGCACCTTATAGACTAACAGATTTATTGGCGCATGAGCTTTTGTGGGCAGAGGCCCATTTCGTCTTTGCTCACGAAAGCTTCTGCTCCAATAAATCTATTAGTCTATAAAGTGCCACAGGACTCCTTGTTGTTTAACCGTACAACAGTCTTTCCTGGCAGTTAGGTCCAGCAGTGGCTGTTAGCCAGGGTAGGGACGGTGTCCCCGGCCTCTGTTCTCCTGAAGCTAGGAAGGGGAGGGATCACGTGATGATTCCCTGCTCTGTTCATTGGCCTGGCATTGGCCGCTGTGGGCAGACAGGATACAGAGAGAGGGATCTTTGGTCTGGCCGTTCTATGCATGTATTAGGGATGTGAATGACTAAACACCCGTGTCACCTAGTCACTATAAGAAAGAGGCAGCAAGGGGAGAGGGGGGGGGAGCACTTCAAAGAGGCTGAGCCGTGTGGAGCCCAGGGCCAGACCCTGAGGTCTGCTGCTTTGGAATGCCGTGTGCAGCCCGGGGTCCCACCTGGCTGGGCTGCACGCAGCATTTCAAAGCAGCAGCACCACACGGAGCTGCCGCTTTGAAACGCTGCCTGCAGCCCGGGGCCAGCAGAGTGCTGCTTGAGCCCTCCGGTGACTCTGTGCTCCCTGCATGGACCCATCCTCCATGAAGACTATTGTAGGGCTGGTGGGGCTTCAAATAAAGGGTAAAATAACATTAGCAGGAAGGAAGTGCCTCGCCCCAGGGCTGTTGCTACACTTAAAGGCAGAGGTGCCCTTGCACAGACTATTCGATTAGCCCATTAATCTAAACAGAACATCCCCAGCCCATATCACACTGTGTTCCCTTGTACATTTTCAAGTTCACCTAGCAGAGACAAAAGGCTCACTAGTCTGCAGTTCCCTAGACATGGGGTTCCCCACCTGTGGTCTGTGGATCCTTGGGGTCTGCAGTGGTAGCGTAGGGGGATCTGCTTGGAGACTCTTGCAGCCAGCACTCCCTTCACTTCCGCGCCTCGGCAAGCAACGCAAGCAGAGGGACTGCCTGGCTGCCGGCACGGGGGTCTCAGCTCAGCCCATGCAGCTTCCTCAGCGGGCCGAGGGACTGGCTGGCTGCCAGCACGGGGCTGAGGGACACCGTTCAGGAAGCAGCGTGGGCTGAGTGACATGCAGGCTGCAGGCACAGTGATATTGTTTGAGGGTCCGTAAAATTGTCAGATTGGAAGGGGTCCAACCTTTCAGAGGATACGGATCCACTGCCCTAGACCAGGGGTTCCCAAACTTTTTGACACTGGGACAAGTAAATCCATTCACAAGCTTTTGGAGGACCGGTAACATTCCTTTGTATATTTGCATATTCATTAAGCAAATGATAAATGTTCAGATAAGTTGTTTCTGGTCCTCCCAAAGCCCCCAGTGCCAGCTTTAGCAAAGCTTTTGATATGGTCACCCACAATATTCTTGCCAGCAAGTTAAGGGAGATTGGATAAATGGACTGTAAGATGGATAGAAAGCTGGCTAGACCAGGGTTTCCCAAACTTTTTACTTTAGTTGGAACCCGGTTTTTTTCAGTGCTGTTTTTTTGTAGCCCAAAAATATAAACGCATATAAAAAAAGAATGAAAAATGAATGGAATCCCCAGGGCTGGAATCACTCGTGCCCGGGTCAGTCCCGCTTCCCGATGCGTACTCCCCCCCTCCC